ACCGTGAGAGGGAGGGGCGGTCCATCTGGGCCGTTCTGGGGCTGCGGCTTTGTGGGGAGCGGAGCTGCAGGGTGTAGGTCCTTGAGCTGCTGGAGTGTCGCCGCCGTCGCTGGAGCGACCTTGGCGGCCGTCAGCCGTCTTGCCGCATGCGACAGCTCTCCCTGTCTCACCAATCTCTCTGCTGCTCGCAACTTGATCTCCTCCAGAGATGGCTCAGACACACCGTCCACTGGTCCATCGCCACGTGGAGCGAAGACGTGGCGACCCTGTTCAGCAAAATTCCTGGACTCGTCGAGTAATCTTTGCCACTCTCCAGCCCAGAACCGCTTGAAGCGAGAACCCCACTTGCGGCGGCCGCCCGTCCCGCCGCGATTCATCGGGAAGAGCAGCATAGTCGGCACGAAAATAGCTATCAGGCAGCCGACATCCAAGTCCTCCTCATCCTTCACATACTTCTCGGTGGTATCCACCACCATCCTCAGCGACTCCCGGACACACTCAGGTATGCGGGATATGGTGCGAGACGCCCAGCTTGAAGTGGTCATCCCGTTGCTCGGCGGTGAGGCTGCGGAGGTAATCAAGCCCACGCTGCGGGAAAATTCCTCTCGAGCGAAACCAGTGGGAATCGTGGGGCGGGTCTGGTGGTGGACCAGGGGGAGGTGGAGGTCCTCCTCCGTGTGGGGGCAGCCCATTGCCGCCCGAGTCACCATCTCCTGCCCCGCCATCTCCCGGGTCACCGGGTGGCGGGCCGGACGGCGGCGGGGGTACGAATCCGCCTCCACCTCGAGCACCTCGGGCGCCTCGTGAGGCTCCACGTGCTCCTCTACCGCGACCCGTCCCCCGAGCTCGGCGCGCCGGCGGAGTGAATGTGTTGTGCTTTTGCGAGTAGAAGTAAGCGTCGTTGCCCCGCATGCGCCGGAATGACGAAGCAGACCGATACGCATGCTGTGCAACAGCAAAAGCCTTCTCTGCAAGAATGCCAGCTCTGCGATTGCGCAGGCGGATATAGAAGGACAGCTGGCGACTGGGGGGGGTAGAGTTTTGCATATCCTCAGAGGGTTCTGGCCTACCCTTGTAGGGTTTTTTACGCCTGCAAGCTTGAGTCTGAAGTGGTTTTGATAGCCTCCTTCCCGTATGAACTGTCTGACTTCCCTTTGTTGAGCGTGACGCTTCTATGTGCGCATTCTTGTGCGCATTGTTGTATGCATGCCTGTACCAGTGTTTGCGCATTTTGGGGGCATTGTCATTGTTGTGCGCATGCCTGTGCCTGTGTATGCATTCTTGTGTGCATTGTCATTGTTGTGTGCATGCCTGTGTCTGTGTGCGTATTCATGGTTTAGTGTTTTTTCTGTTGCTGATGCTCTGCGGTTCCGCCTGGACACGTCAAGACGTTGTCGTCCAGCAGATCTTCTCGCCGACAAGGCTCCAGAGAAACCTCATCGAGAATGGCTCTTCCGATCTCAAGCACGCTCCCATCCGTCATTCACAAAGTAGTCAGCGTCAGCGCGTCAGTGAGTGAAGCCAATGGGCGCGGTGAGCGCTTCTACGGAAGGGAATCTCTCCCATCCAACCTGACTGACTGACTGGCCTAGCTCCTGTCTGTCAAGTTACATAGCGCTTGGAAGCTCAGGCAGGGAGCAACGGATATGTGACGTACTCCGATCGGACGCTTCTTGCCCAACGGGCAAGCCAAAACAAGAGCAAAAACGTCAGGCCCGGTTGCATTGTTGACGAAATCATCGTAGGACGACCAGAGGCCGGTCTAGAGTCTCACCCATGAAGGACATACATGCGTGACTGCTTCACCAAAATCATGACTGCAATATGAAAATGAATATGGCACTCTTTGTTCCCTGCAGGAAAATGACATTCATGCATCAAGATGGCACTCAAAAAGGACGAAAGGGGCGCACATGAGGTCTGAAAGGGCCTCGACTTATCATACCCTCATTGCACACTCCACGAAACCGGGCCCTTGAGTATCAGCAGCTGTATGTGCTCGACTTGACACTTGATATGTATTAAACCTCATCAATCCAATAGACAAGACTTGTGCCCAATGATTTGTTCTTGTGAATCTCTCACGAAAAGAAGCCTCTTCATCACATGAAACTCCTGTAGGTAGCCTTTTTCTCTTTGCCAAATCCTTCAATAGAGCCACTGTCTTCTTTCCCCATCTTCCAAATGTCTCTACTGCAAGAGGGACAAACTTATGGTCAGCACGAATGACATTAGCCGCATATTTCGCTTCCTTCACTTCCTCCGCATGTCTCGCTGCATCACCACCAGGTTCTGTCGCTCCGCGCCGATCGACTTGTCGCCAATGAGGGTTAGAGGCGTCAGGGCGGGTAGGATAAGTAACAGTGACATCAGCGGAGTATCCCTGTCCATCCACGACGAAAAAGAGGTCCATGCGTTGATGATTCGGGTCGCTGTCTAGTGGAGTGACTCCGATGCAACGAGCTCTTCAACTCCCTCCCGCCCGACGGCAGAGCCCGCGCCCGTCTCTTGAGCTGCCAAGGGCCTCTCTCGTCTGGTTGGCTGTCAGCGATCCCTTCCAGCGATAGCAAGGCACTGAACAACTTCCAGTATCGTCATGCCGTCGCCGGGTGTCTCGGCATTGGCCTCCCGCACGCAACCGTCTCGCAGCGATGCATCTACGGCAAGGAGGTTGACAAGTTTGGCGATCACTTCTACGTGTGTCACACCGGCCGTGAGCGGGTCACGAGACACAACAATATGCGCAACTTGTTTGTTCGCATCCTGGGCTGAGGCAGATGTTCTTCCAATTTGGAGGTGCCTCTGCACAGCCTCGGTATCACCCCACCCGACGACAACCCCAACAGCCAGCGTATGGACATCTACTGCGTGATCGATGCTTCGCTGCTCCCTACCTGCAGGATAAGACCGATTGCCTGTGGAGCCGAGAGGGCGTGACTTAGGGCGACTCCCTGTAGATGCTCGTCTATACGAGCGACAGCCTTTCTCTCATTCATGCCTTGCGAGATGCGTGCGCGGAGGAGGGATATGAGATAATCTCTGAATGGGCAGTGGGCGGGGTGCAGCCAGACAAGGATACGAAAGAAAACAGGCCATCAGAAGCCCACGGGAGGCCAATAGAAGCCAGTGATGAGCCATCAGAAGCGGGGAGGGATGATACATGTGTGTGTTCTGGTGTTGCTGGCTTTTAGAAGCGTATGTATGTCTGTACGTATGCATGTGTGGACGTGTTGTATCTCAGTATGCCTCCTCCAGCAACGATGCAGCAGATGATAATCAGTCAGACACATCCATCCAAGCACTAACTATATGTAGCCATTCAGAGGAATTCTAGTAAGCAACTCAAAATGTCGTTCCTTCCCCTTCGTCGCTTTCAGGCTGGTCGACGGATGCCTCAAGGAATGATACCACCGGTAAGGAGGGGAGGAACAAAGGAAAGAAGCAAGGGGAAGAGGGAGGAAGGGAGGGAGAGACAGCACATCTCTTCGCGTTTCCGTCCATACACCCATCTGTCCAGCTCTCCTCCTCCTGTTCATCCATCGTGCGTGCCTTTCAGGGTATACGTCATCCCGCTGCCCCTCCTGGCCAAGCAGGTACAGCTTCTGCTGCTTCGATGATACCAACACCAGCAGGGGTACCAGCACAACAGCCGCCACCACAGGCGTGAGAGGAATGAAGATGATTGATTGGTTTGTATGCGGATGGATGTGTGTTATTACGGGAGCACTGGTAGAGAGAAAAAGATAGTGTCCCTTATTCGTGAACGCTGCGTGAATGGATTACGAATGTGTGTCTGTATGTGTGTGTATCTGGACTGACTTCGAAAATACGCGATGTAACTCTTGACTCACCCACACATGAAGAAGTCCAATATGCGAATAGTGACATAACACGCATGTCAAAAACACCACTGTCGACCGAAAAAAGTTCGCATTCATGTTGCCCTTGAGGCTCTTCGCCAACGCCAACAAACACACAAACTGCACAAAAAAGAGCGAGCAAAGCTTTTGCGAACATAAACAGTCCATGGCAGGCCACTATGGCTATAGACTCTGCAACGTACTTCATCATGGTGCACGTGAAGGAAAAAGACAGCATAGATGTGACCTGATTTACGGACAAAACAGAAAACACCAACCAGATGAGGCTTCCGAAACACTCAACGTACACTACAAAAACGCGCGAAAGAGACACACTGATGCAGCTCAGTGACTACAAAATCATACAACACCTTTCCATGTCAAGAGAACTACACCTCTTCGCTTCCAACTATGTACGGAGAGGCCCTACCACTGTGTCCAGGCGAGCCCTTGTCGCCTTTCTCACCCTTGTCACCTTTATCGCCCTTCTCACCCTTGTCGCCTTTCTCCCCTCGATCACCCTTCTCGCCTTTGTCGCCTTTATCGCCTCTGTCGCCTTGTGGTCCTTTCTCTCCAGCAGGGCGAATGAGGTCTAATAATGAACTCGCTATGAGCCCCATGGATGCACCAGCCACGCCACCCAGCCAAAGCATTGCAACCTTGTCTTGTCGCGTGACGTCGCGATCGATGATGGAAATCAACACATCCGAAGCGCCTTGCAGTGTGATCCGCAAGAGCGATATCACGTCTTGTGCATCCTCGAAGATGCCCAGGGCCTGCTCCCTTTCGAATACCGCACTGGCGTCTGGGACTGTGAAGTCGACTTTCTCGCTGGTTGCCAGTGCATAATGGACTTCTTTAAATCGTCCAGGGGGCAATGCTTCATCGAACGAGAAGTTCGATTGGACGATCGTCATATAGCCGAGGCGTGTCTCTGATAGCGGTCCATCTTGGTCTTTCGCAACATGGAAGTTGAGCCAGCCGCCAAAAGCTGGAAAAGATTCTTCATTGGGCGTGAGCACCATTTCTCCCTTCTCCTCGTTCCATGAAGGTGGCGACGCTTCTTCGTAGGTGTAATTCGTACCAGCTAGATCGTAGTCACCGCTGGGAAGATACGCTACCTACGTGGACACCCTCCAGTGTGTCAGGTCGGCGTTGCTCGCTTGGCCTGGCGAGAGAAGTGCAGATCTCTCTCACGCACGAGACGTGTATACAGCTCGTACGAAAACTTCAAACGAGCTTTGAAATCATCGGAAACCCAGTATTCCGCTGGAGAACCAGTCATTCTTCGCCAAATTGACGCCAATTGCATGTGGTTGTTTGTTAGCACTGGTGCTCTCCATGCTGCTAACAACTCATTAGCGCTCCTGACTTGGACGTGACCGGTAGCAATTCGTGTGAATCAGATGGGGAGTAAGGAATGGCAGACAGGCAGCTATTCTCGCGACTGAATAGGAAGAGATTTTTGAGACGTGTGCGGTTCATTTACTCATGCATGTGCACACAAGTTCGGGTATGGTATTCACCACCCCTCAATGAGGTCCTCATACCGCCCCATCTCCTCATCAAACCTGAACACAGACACACACACATGCACATGCATATGCCATCGATCAAATATGCCGCGTGTATGTCCGTGTGACTGTGTGTGGTTCTCACCCGTTGGTGTCTCCCTCCATGTTCTCATCATCTCGCTGTTCGTCTTCCCCCTCTCCTTCGCTCTCGTCCTCCTCCCTCTCTCGTCACCCATGTCACGCGCAGCGCGCGAAGCCCTCTTGGCTTTGGCCTTTGCCTTGCCCCTCGCATGCCCACCCCCGCCCCCCTCTGTCTTGCGCTTCTTTTTCTTGCTCTTGCTCCTGCCGGCGCTCAGCCGGTCGAGTCGTCTCTGCAGCAGTGAGGTGAGGATGGCTTCGGCCTGGGGCCGGGTGAGGTCGGGGTGGTCGGCCGGTGCATGATCCTGCTGTGCGTCGATGCGGATTGTGGCTTGCGAATCGAGATTGTCGGGGGCGGGGTGAGGGTGATCGGTAGCAGCACCATTGGAGGCAGAAGTCCATGCAGTGTGCGCCGATGCCTCTAAAGAGAGCAAGGAGGAATGTTTTTGTGTTTATGTACAAGTGGGGATGAAGTGGTGCAAGTGTGTAACATATCCAGCCGCTGTAGTGCGAGTGATAGCTGCGACAGTACCTCATTGCGGTACTTGACATTCTGACCTTATGGAGAAGAAGCCAGCACGTTAAAGCATGTCTCAGGCAATCGATGTGTCTCCGCCGTGTCTCACTTCTGAATGCGATGTCGCACAGATTGCTCGACATGATGGGCAGGAAGATAGTCTTGGCAGCCTCCGCCTGGATACATAAAGACGAGATAGGGTTGGTGGTTCTGGCAGGCAGACGCGTGCAGATCGGTGTATGTGTTCCTACTCAGGGATTCTGGCAGACAAGCAGACACACACAGGGGAAGAAATGCTGAGACCGGGTGAATGTGTATTGTACAGCTCTTTGGTGGTGACCACGCGCAGTCGCCTCCATTCGTCTGTCTTTTTTGCGATGGTCAACGTCACGCACTCAACACTCTGTAGGGGGCCGCTGCACACATGATATACACAGAGATATATGTCTGCGCTCTATTGTCCTCTTGTGTTGTGTGTCTCTCCCTACGCCTGCCCCTCCTCATTGTCATGGTCTTGCACGGTATTATTGATGGTGTTGTCCGTACTGTTGAGCGTAAGGCCGTACTGCTCGCCCTCCCGGGTGAGGAAGTCCCGCACCAAAGACGTCAGGCCACACGACAACGCCTCACCCGCAAGCAGAGGCATGCCGTCGGCACACAAGAAAAAGAGAGCACTTAATGCAGACGGTCTGAATGCTCTATCCTCACCTGAATGGTCCCATCATATATCTGTTCACCACTTCGCGTCGCAGCTCGTCACCTTGGAGGTCGTTCGCCTCCTCCTGGGTGGCGAGGGTCTGGAATGGTTCTGCGAGGGAGGCAGTCCCTCAACTGATACATACTAGACAGATGAGGGAGGCAGGGGGGAGGGAGGGAGGTGTGGTGCTGCTCTCTGGTCTGTCTGCATTAGGTCGCTCGTGTGCATGTGTGTCTGGATGTCTGCATGCCTGATTGGTGGTTCTGCTGTTTGGCCTTCCCGCATCCCTTGTGTGTCCGTTGATGTCTGCGCTGCTCTTACTTACTGTGTCGCATGTGTGCATGTATGCATTTCTGTCTGCCAATTTGGTTGCTGGCTGTCATGACGGTTTTTCTCTGGTGTGTTGCTGTCTGTATGTAGAGGCGCATTGAACTGAAAACGCGACCGTCATGACCATCCTGTCACCAAAAAAATCCCCTCACCATCACTCGATCTGTATGCAGACTGCCAAACGAAGAAGATGCTAGAGACAAAAGAACAGTTCAAGACGAAAAAGACTTCATAACGCACGAGAGATGAATCCCTCAGCAGCACTCTACCCAGCCACTCGCAAACCTACTTGCCTTCGGCACACACAACATCCTCATCCCCTCTCCCTCATCAATCACTGCTGTTCCCTTTTTTCGCCGTCACGTCACCTCCAGCGATCTGCCGAAACTCAAACGGACACGTGACCTCCAGAGACCTGCCGAAAAGCAGCTTGTAGACAGCCCGGGATGGAATGACCCACTTGATAGGCATCCCATTGACTTGCACCACCCTGGCCTTGGCCTGTGGCCCCACCCCGCCCCGCATCCACACTGACACCATCTTCACTGACGACAGCTCGGGACACTTTGCCAAAAGGGCCGGCTCGACAGGCAGAGGATGGCTGATGTCGCCAGAGAGATCAGCAGCTATGCTCTCAGTGTCCTCTGGCAGTTCGTCTCCACGTTTGCACTGGTAGCCCCACACTTGTGTGAGCTTGCCATCCTCCGTCACGAAGATGAAGAGGTCGTACGTCTCAAACTGGTTGTTGCTGGGCTTGACAAAAAAGGCAGCACAGCCCTCGGCGAGTTCCGGATGGTCCCTCAGTGCCTGTGACAGGTATCCGCCTTGTTTCACGAATGCCTCGACAACATCAGAGAGCGTCGTCCAGTCGGAGTTCCTGATGCGGGTTCCGAAACTGCATTGACTGCGGATGACGGCAGGGGGAAGGGTGTTGTGAAGGTCCTTTGGAAGAGCAGCGATCTGGTCTTGCGCGTCGGGGTCGTCCTTGCGCAGGTCGCTCTGTATGAGGCGCAGACAGAGAGCAGCGGCACACGGCCCTTCCCACTGGTCTCCCGACTCGTCATCGGCCGTGTTGAGCTTCCACAAGTTAGCGGCGGCGGCATTGAGCCCGGAAACGACCAGAGAGCCTAAATCCTCTGGACGTTGGGCCAGCTTGTCGAGAACATAATAGAGATAGCAGGGGGGCCAGACGAACACCTCTTCTCCCAAACCGTCCTCTTTGAAGACATCCAGAAGCTCCTCCCACTCTCGGAGGCCATACCGAGGCTCAGTCCCACTGACGGCTGTGTCGATGACGGACCATAGGATGCGGACGGCATCTGTCGGACCTCGCAGAGCAAGCTGCGGGAGGCATTTAATCAGAAACTTCGGCAGCAGGTCCGTTCTGGACCATTCCCACAGGAGCGCTGGGCTGCGTCCTGCCCAGCATATCTGTGCCGTGTTGGCGCCATAGAGATAGAGGCGCCCGCTCACGAGTTCCAGGTCTTCCTTCTCGATGCGGGGCAGTGAGGGGGAGAGGACCGTGCGACGGCTGGGAGACTGGAGGAATTTGCTGAGGTCAGCGAAGGGTCGGTTGACGTGGCTGCTGAAGGCAAAGTATCTGTTCCCCTTGAGAAGGAAGACGTCCTTGAGCCACTTGCCCACTTCATTTTCTGCATTGCTTCGCCGTTCATCACGGGTGACGAAGTTGTTCAACTCATCGATGAGCAAGACAGCCCCCTCCGTCCCCAGCCAGTCGAGGATTGTCTGCTCGTTTATAGACGCATGCATGATCCACTTGTCGAACTTCAGCTTGTCCATAGCCACCCCTGCCGCATCTGCCACTTCCTCTATTGCTGTCGGTGTCCTGGCCGCCCACGCCACGCGCATGAAGAGAGAGTCGTTCAGAGATGGTAAGAGTCTGACCTCCTCGACTGTGTACGCGGTTTCATCGTTGAAAGAGATCTGAATGACGGGGATGCCCTCCTCGCGCAGCTTCGTGCCCATCTCTCTCAGTGTCCTGGTCTTGCCTCCACGAGAGAATCTTGTGAAGAGCATCGGCATGATGCGATCGTTTCGGGTGTCCCAGTATTGGTGATATTCGGGCAGCAACAGGTCGTATGCTGTGTCGACGAAGCGACGGCCGATGAAGTCGGGGCTGTCGTCGCTCTCCAACGGTCGGAGCGGCACTTCTGCGGGGCGGTAGAGGTGATCTCGTGTGAGCTCGACAACACGCTCTGCGGACACACAACACGCACACACACGCGTAACTATCTGGCTTGCTATCTGCCTGCATGCCTGCCCCTTTGCCTGGCTCTGTGCGTGTTTGCGTACTTGTCTCGGCCAGTCCTCTCGTTGACGAATCAGCCAACTCTGCAGGCTCGGGCAGCTCTGACAGAAACACAAGTGCATACGCAGAGAAGATGATCACATACATCCGTGGGGTGTGTGGGTCCGTCCGTTCGTACACACCCGGAAGTGGCTTCCCGACTGCCACCCATCCCGAAACACCTAGCTGCTTCACCGCGGCATAGAAGGAGACTTGACCCTACGCATGCAAATCATGGGTGAGCCACACGATCACTCTTAGCGCTGTCGAGGTGTATTCAAGTAAGAGCGCCCTCACCTCCTCCTGCAGTCGAATGAGCAATGCCTCATACTCTTCCCGATCTTCCTTGCCGTCATCGCTGCGTGAGGAGCTATTCGGCACTGTGCGGCTCTCACCGTGCGGCCATCTGAATGATGTGAATGGCATTAATGCACACACAGGGTGGCATGTCCCGCCATCCTCAGGCTGCCTTTGCGTGTATATATGTACCTGGCTGCATCAGCGGTCGCTGTCTGCCGCCTTGCGATGAACCGATGGAGCGACACAAGGGGCGATGTAGAGGATTCGAGCACCTGATCCAGCCGCACACAGAAAGGGAAACCACACCATGAGCTAGCTAGATAGATATATATCATCTTCCTGTCCACCCAACTAACCTGAAGACGTTTGGCATTGTGGCGATGCCCACCGATGACACTCACGGACGCCTGCTCTGGCCCTCCAGCGATGAAGGCAGATCCGCTCAAGGCCCTCCCTTCGTGTGCGCGGCGCATCATCGCCATCTTCTTGTGTGACGTGCCGAGGGTCATGATGTGCATGACGCTCGTCAGGAGCACCCAAAGGACACATGTGAGGCGCGACGAGGCGGCTGGTCGCATGTCAACAAGACAGAAGCCGGTAACAGTGGCGCTGCGCATCTTGAGAGCCAAGGACGGACGAATGCGGCGAGTCGAGGCAAAGTCGGTGGTCACAGGGCCACGCGCCTGCCTGCACGTTACGAACACACACAACGAAATGGAGTCCATGCAGCCATGCATCTGAACCCATACTCACCGCTCTATCTTTCAGCAGCAGAGATGCGTCAGTCAGGATAGCCGAGATCTCGCAGAGAAGAGAAGTCATGGCGCGCTGCACCAAAAAACCGATGATCAGTTTCACGAACAATACAACCGGGCCTGACGTTTTTGGCTGCGTGCTCGTGATGTTGCGTCTCGTAGATCGCGTCCCTGCCTTCTCAGCTTTGCTTTTTCGCCCTATGACTGCTGTACAACACTGCCAAGGGCCTGGCTGTCGGTTCCCTCACACCTGAATCGCCTATTTGCCTTCCTGGTATGCATGCGTGTGGAACACGGAAAGGGAACGAGGGCACGGAAATGGACATATGTGTGTGTTCGTGTGTGGGTCTATGCGTCGTCGATGTGCTGTTGTCGTGGTGTGGTGTGGCAGGTTGTTTTTCGCACTCTTCTGTCGCGCCGCTGTTCCGTTTGGGTGCGCTGTACAACACTATGTGGTTCGCAAGCGTACACACTGACTGGATGGCTAGCTTGTCAGTGACCATTGTGTTGGTGGTGTTCTGTTGATGTGGTGACTATGGCAGGTTGTTTTCCGCACCCTCTGTCGTGTCGCTTTTCGTTCGGGTGCACTTTTGCTATCACTCCCTGGTGCGCACCAAGACAGACAGAAAGACAGACACACCGACCACATACACCACACTGTCTGTGTGGCTGCCTGGCTGTGCATGCAATGTCCTCAGACGTGTTGTTTGCTTTTGCCGGTCGTCTGCGAGTTTGGCAGCGGCAGTTCCCTGCCTTGTCAACGCTCACAGCGCCCATTGGTTGAGCTCGCTGCATGACCGGCACTGCATAGAAGACCTTCACGTCTGACATCTATTCATTCAATCACTCTCGAGTCCCCGCGCTTGAGTCGACCTGTGTTGATCTAGACCATCCCCACCGAATGGTCTAAGCAGAGCACAAGACAACCAACTACAGCCTCATCAGAAGTCCACATCCTGGACGTCCGGAGCAATTCGTCACTTACCGAGTGTGACGTTCGCTCTCTGGCCAACGTGACGGGAGCCTCCATCGTTCTCTGCGTCCTTGCCGAGGAACAGTTCCAGGACCTCACCATTCCGCTCTTGCTTCGCGAGCATGAGACAGTTCACCTGGAAGGCGGACGTGTGCAGCGGCCCAGGACAGCCCTGGAGCCCTTCCCTCCCCCGCCACCGGTTCTCTTCATTTTCTACGCTGGCAACCACTTCATGTCCCTGCTGCCGTTGGATGCGAGTGATCCTGCAGCGGGTGCGGAGGCCGCAGGCGACTGGTATCGATGTGGTGAGTGGCCGTGCGCCTGTGTGGAAACTGCGAGAGATGGTGGCCATGCTGCGGGCCCGTCGGTTGCCCTCGGGAATCCATCGGAGGCACGTCCCCCCGCTGCCATCGATGGACCGACCCGCCTTGTGCCGCCCCCCTCTCACCCGGAGGGCGTCACCAACCGAGGTACCTCACCCCGCTCGGACCTCCGACGCCAGCGTCGTACCGGACGACAACGGCAACGCCGCACTCGCAGGCGTTTGCAAGAGGGAGCAGTCACTTCGATACGTAAGGACTTGGAGGATGAAGTGGAGTCCAGCGGCCCGGAACATCGACACGACCAGGACACCTACATGGAATTGGTCAGTAGCGATGCAGCCCCGCCCATAGGAAACGACCAAGAAGTCGACGGGACAAACGAACTGGGAGACACGGTGGATGGACGTGGTTGGATGGATATTGCGGAGGATCGCGATTTGACAGTGGGCGTGGGAGGGGCAAGTGCCAGCCGGCAACTCACCCCGGATGAGCTGATATCTCGCGAGGGCCGCGGACCCTCGGGTGCGGATCCACTTTCGGCGGCGGGGCCCAATAGCAACGATCGCCCCACACTTCCCCCTGATCGGCTCGGCGCTTTGGGTGACATGACGTCGCGCGAGGGCTATGACCCGGACAACCGTGGCCCGCCCAAGGGCCTTCGAGACTTGGACGACATCCTTGATGCTTGACATTCATCATATACACGCACTCCAAGTCCACACATGCCTGCGCACCCCTGCGCACAGAGACATTCATGATATACACGCACTCCAAGTCCACACGTGCATGCGCAGGGGTGCGCACGCAGACATTCATCATATACACGCACTCCAAGTCAACGCATCGTCGTGCACAGAGACATTCATGACATACACGCACTCCAAGTCCACACGTGCATACGCAGGGGCGCGCACAGAGGCATTCATGACATACACGCACTCCAAGTCCAGACGTGCATGCGCCGGAGTGCGCACAGAGACATTCATGATATACACGCACTCCAAGTTTACACGTGCCTGCGCAGGGGTGCGCACAGAGGCATTCATCATATACACGCAGGTGTGCGCACAGAGACTTTCATGACATACACACACTCCAAGTCCACACGTGCATGCACAGGTGTGCGCACAGTGACATTCCCCATATACACGGACTCCAAGTCCACAGACGTGCATGCACAGGTGCGCACAGGCACAGAGACATTCATGATATACACGCACTCCAAGTCCACGCGTGCATGCGCAGGGGTGCGCACAGAGACATTCATGATATACACGCAGGTGTGCGCACACAGACATTCATGATATACACGCACTCCAAGGCCACGCGTGCATGCGCAGGGGTGCGCACAGAGACATTCATGATATACACGCAGGTGTGCGCACAGAGACATTCATGATATACACGCACTCCAAGTCCACGCGTGCATGCGCAGGGGTGCGCACAGAGACATTCATGATATACACGCAGGTGTGCGCACACAGACATTCATGATATACACGCACTCCAAGTCCACACGTGCCTGCGCAGGGGTGCGCACAGAGACATTCATGATATACACGCAGGTGTGCGCACAGAGAGGCATTCATGACATACACGCAGTCCAAGTCCACACGTGCATGCGCAGGTGTGCGCACACAGACATTCATCACATACACACACTCCAAGTCCACACGTGCATGCGCGGGAGTGCGCACAGAGACATTTATCATATACACGCACTCCAAGTCCACACGCAAGTCCACACGTGCATGCGCAGGTGTGCGCACAGAGACATTCATCATATACACGCACTCCAAGTCCACACGTAAATGCGCATGTTCATGCGCAGGTGTGCGCACACAGACGTACATCATATACACACACTCCAAGTCCACACGTGCATGCGGACGTGCATGCGCAGGTGTGCGCACACAGACATTCATGACATACACGCACTCCAAGTCCACACGTGCCATGCACTTCAAGTCCACACGTGCATGCGCAGGAGTGCGCAGACAGACATTCATCATGTACACACACACTCCAAGCCCAAACGTGCATGCGCAGGTGTGCGCACACAGACGTTCATGCGCACACAGACGTTCATCATATACACACACTCCAAGTCCACACGTGCATGCGCAGGTGTGCGCACAGAGACATTTATCATATACACGCACTCCAAGTCCACAAGTGCATGCGCAGGTTTGCGCAGCTGTGCGCACACAGACATTCATGACATACACGCACTCCCAGTCCACACGTGCCATGCACTTCAAGTCCACACGTGCATGCGGACATGCATGCACAGGTGTGCGCACACAGACATTCATCATATACACACACTCCAAGTCGACACGTGCATGCGCAGGTGTGCCCACACAGACATTCATCATATACACACCAAGTCGACACGTGCATGCGCAGGTGTGCGCACACAGACATTCAGTACGTGCACACACTCCAAGTCGACACGTGCACGCGCAGGTGTGCGCACACAGACATTCATTATATACACACACTCCAAGTCGACACGTGCACGCGCAGGTGTGCGCACAGAGACATTCATCATATACACACACTCCAAGTCGACATGTAGGTACGCAAGGCTGCGCGCACTCCAAGTCGACACGTGCATGCGCAGAGGTGCGCACAGAGACACTCATAAGATACACACACTCCAAGTCGACACGTGCATGCGCACACCTACACACTCCCAGTCGACGCGTGCATGCGCAGGTGTGCGCACAGAGACATTCATCATATACACACACTCCAAGTCCACGCGTGCATGGACATTCATGATATACACGCACTCCAAGTCGACGCGTGCATGCTGCATGCGCAGGTGTGCGCACAGAGACATTCATCATATACACACACTCCAAGTCGACGAGGTGTGCGCATACAGACATTCGTCATATACACGCACTCCAAGTCGACACGTGAATGCGCAGGGGTGCGCACAGAGACATTCATGATATACACACACTCTAAGTCGACACGTGCATGCGCAAGGGTGCCCGTACACACGTTCATTATATCCACAGAATACAACCGGGCCTGACGTTTTGGCTGCGTGCTCGTGATCTTGCGTCTCGTGGATCGCGTCTTGCCTTCTCAGTTAGCTTTTTCGGCCCATTGCTGCTGTACAACACTGCCAAGGGCCTGGCTGTCGTCTCCCTCACACCTGAATCGCCCACCTGCCTTCCTGGTATGCATGCGTGTGGAATACTGAAAGGGAACGAGGGCACGGAAATGGACGCATATGTGTGTGTTCGTGTGTGGGTCTG